TTAACACACACAAGCATTGCAATAACTCTTTAGCAGCACCGGGTTTAACGTCGTATTTAATAAGAGTAATGTAAATGGACATGTAGTACATTCACAATCACGAGGTTGCTTTCCGTATTGTTTCAGAGAATGTGTGTTGGTAAGCATTTAAAGGAAACCAATATATAAAATATAAGCATTGCATTTCCTGTGAAGATATTGACTCTCGTGAGTATAATAAAAAGATTCCAGTTTCTTCGTTGCTTAGTAAATGTCAATGTTTATTCATCCCTCGCGTGAAAGGTACATTTAACTTTACCTAAAGTAAAGGACTTTTCAATTTTTTAAATTGGATTTTCTCTTCTTTAAAAAAAGTTATCGGGACCACAGTTAGCTTTAATAAACCTTGATTAGATTACGCAAAAAAAACTGTTCTCTTTTTCTATTTCCCTGGAGTTCGAAATTAAGCTTACTTCTTTCCTTTCTGAATGCAAGCATAAATATAAAGAACTAAATCCGGTAAATTTGGTTATACTGACAATACAAAAATCACCAAAACTAGATCCAGTTTACACGTCACTTTACAACTTTACTATTTACAACCCTTATTCCTGAATATTAATAATATGAAGTTTCGTGGCCACGTCAAAAGAAACCAATTTCGAAAATAAAATTCAAAGGGCTGTAACTTTTGAACTAGTAGCCCAATCTTCGAACTGTTTGAAACTATGGATTCTACAGGCCACATTCTATAAGAAAATTTTTTTTCCCGGTCGATCTGAGACAATCTTTTTTTCGGGGCCCAAAAGAAGGCAGTGTATAACCTTCTTTTTTTACCAAAAATCGACTACACCAAAATTTCTCGGGAAAACACTTTTTCTTATTAATTTTGGTGCGTATAATCCAAAACAATTCGTACTTTTTCGATCAGACTTCTCAATCAAAAGTTATAGACTAGAAACCAATTTCGAAAGAAAATTCAAAGGGCTGTAACTTTTGAACTAGTAGCCCAATCTTGGAACTGTTTGAAATTATGGATTCTACAGGCCACATTCTATAAGAAAATTTTTTTTCCGGGTCGATCTGAGACAATTTTTTTTTCGGGGCTCAAAAAAAGGCAGTGTATAACCTTCCTTTTTTACCAAAAATCGACTGCACCAAAATTTCTCGGGAAAACACTTTTTCTTATTAATTTTGGTGCGTAGAATCCAAAACAATTCGTACTTTTTCGATCAGACTTCTCAATCAAAAGTTATGACTAGAAACCAATTTCGAAAGAAAATTCAAAGGGCTGTAACTTTTGAACTAGTGGCCCAATCTTGGAACTGTTTGAAATTATGGATTCTACAGGCCACATTCTATAAGAAATTTTTTTCCGGGTCGATCTGAGACAATTTTTTTTCGGGGCCAAAAAAAGGCAGTGTATAACCTTCCTTTTTTTACCAAAAATCGACTACACCAAAATTTCTCGGGAAAACACTTTTTCTTATTAATTTTGGTGCGTAGAATCCAAAACAATTCGTACTTTTTCGATCAGACTTCTCAATCAAAAGTTATAGACTAGAAACCAATTTCGAAAAAATATTCAAAGGGCTGTAACTTTTGAACTAGTAGCCCAATCTTGGAACTGTTTGAAATTATGGATTCTACAGGCCACATTCTATAAGAAAATTTTTTTCCGCGTCGATCTGAGACAATTTTTTTTTCGGGGCTCAAAAAAAGGCAGTGTATAAACCTTCCTTTTTTACCAAAAATCGACTGCACCAAAATTTCTCGGGAAAACACTTTTTCTTATTAATTTTGGTGCGTAGAATCCAAAACAATTCGTACTTTTTCGATCAGACTTCTCAATCAAAAGTTATAGACTAGAAACCAATTTCGAAAGAAAATTCAAAGGGCTGTAACTTTTGAGCTAGTAGCCCAATCTTCGAACTGTTTGAAATTATGGATTCTACAGGGCACATTCTATAAGAAAATGTTTTTTCCCGGTCGATCTGAGACAATTTTTTTTTCGGAGCTCAAAAAAAGGCAGTGTATAACCTTCCTTTTTTACCAAAAATCGACTACACCAAAATTTCTCGGGAAAACACTTTTTCTTATTAATTTTGGTGCGTAGAATCCAAAACAATTCGTACTTTTTCGATCGGACTTCTCAATCAAAAGTTATGGACTAGAAACCAATTTCGAAAGAAATTTCAAAGGGCTGTAACTTTTGAACTAGTAGCCCAATCTTGGAACTGTTTGAAATTATGGATTCTACAGGCCACATTCTATAAGAAAATTGTTTTTCCGGGACGATCTGAGACAATTTTTTTTGAGGGCCTCAAAAAAAGCAGTGTACAACCTTCCTTTTTTACCAAAAATCGACTGCACCAAAATTTCTCGGGAAAACACTTTTTCTTATTAATTTTGGTGCGTAGAATCCAAAATAATTCGTACTTTTTCGATCAGACTTCTCAATCAAAAGTTATAGACTAGAAACCAATTTCGAAAGAAAATTCAAAGGGCTGTAACTTTTGAACTAGTAGCCCAATCTTGGTACTGTTTGAAATTATGGATTCTACAGGCCACATTCTATAAGAAAAATGTTTTTCCGGGTCGATCTGAGACAATTTTTTTTGAGGGCCTTAAAAAAAGGCAGTGTACAACCTTCCTTTTTTTTAAAAATCGACTGCACCAAAATTTCTCGAGAAAACAGTTTTTTTTTATGAATTTTGGTGCGTAGAATCCAAAACAATTCGTACTTTTTCGATCAGATTTCTCAATAAAAAGTTATAGACTAAAAAAGAAACCAATTACGAAAGAAAATTCAAAGGGCTGTAACTTTTGAACTAGTAGCCCAATCTTGGAACTGTTTGAAATTATGGATTCTACAGGCCACATTCTATAAGAAAAATGTTTTTCCGAGTCGATCTGAGACAATTTTTTTTGAGGGCCTCAAAAAAAGGCAGTGTACAACCTTCCTTTTTTGCCAAAAATCGACTGCACCAAAATTTCTCGAGAAAACAGTTTTTCTTATGAATTTTGGTGCGTAGAATCCAAAACAATTCGTACTTTTTCGATCAGATTTCTCAATAAAAAGTTATAGACTAGAAAAGAAACCAATTTCGAAAGAAAATTCAAAGGGCTGTAACTTTTGAACTAGTAGCCCAATCTTGGAACTGTTTGAAATTATGGATTCTACAGGACACATTCTATAAGAAAAATTTTTTCCGAGTCGATCTGAGACAATTTTTTTTGAGGGCCTCAAAAAAAGACAGTGTACAACCTTCCTTTTTTTCCAAAAATCGACTGCACCAAAATTTCTCGAGAAAACAGTTTTTCTTATTAATTTTGGTGCGTAGAATCCAAAATAATTCGTACTTTTTCTTTCAGACTTCTCAATAAAAAGTTATAGACTAGCAAAGAAACCAATTTCGAAAGAAAATTCAAAGGGCTGTAACTTTTGAACTAGCAGCCCAATCTTCAAACTGTTTGAAATTGTGGATTCTACAGGCCAATTCCTATAAGAAAAATTTTTTTCCGGGTCCATCTGAGCCAATTTTTTTTGAGGGCCTCAAAAAAAGGCAGTGTACAACCTTCCTTTTTTGCCAAAAATCGACTGCACCAAAATTTCTCGGGAAAACACTTTTTCTTATTAATTTTGGTGCGTAGAATCCAAAACGAATCGTACTTTTTCGATCAGACTTCTCAATCAAAAGTTATAGACTAGAAACCAATTTCGAAAGAAAATTCAAAGGGCTGTAACTTTTGAACTAGTAGCCCCAATCTTGGAACTGTTTGAAATTATGGATTCTACAGGCCACATTCTATAAGAAAAATTTTTTTCCGGGTCGATCTGAGACAATTTTTTTGAGGGCCTCAAAAAAAGGCAGTGTATAACCTTCCTTTTTTACCAAAAATCGACTGCACCAAAATTTCTCGGGAAAACACTTTTTCTTATTATTTTTGGTGCGTAGCGTAGAATCCAAAACAATTCGTACTTTTTCGATCAGACTTCTCAAAAAGTTATAGACTAGCAAAGAAACCAATTTCGAAAGAAAATTCAAAGGGCTGTAACTTTTGAACTAGTAGCCCAATCTTGGAACTGTTTGAAATTAATAATAATAATAACAATAATAACTTTATTCCCTCTAAAGACAAATATAACACGTCACAGAGGATCGTAAAAATAAAATCAAAGCAAAAAACATTATAGGGATAAAGTTATTATTATTTTTATTATTATTATAAAATCGCAAAATAAACCACTCCCTGCAAAGAGAGGTCTCCTCTATTACACTAAGACACTTCGTGTACCCAATAACAATGAGTTCCGACCTGACATAGACGGGTCCAAAACTGACAAGAGGGTAGGTTGCTCCGTCGCCCTGGTGAGTGACTAGCCGCACATGCTTACAGCCTGCAGACATACAACAGTGGGTTCCAGACCGAGCTCGCGGCTATAAACTTATAGAGCTAAACCTAAGATGGACACGGAGCAGGCATCGTTGTCTCCGACTCTGCGCATATAAGCACGATGGACCTCCTTGACAGGGAGCAGTGACGGAACTTAGATCGCCTGTTCCTCAAACCTCAAACGCTTGTGTAGTTTACCGACCCCTAACAGAAAGGGGAACGGGCGTGGGTATATAGGGTGATCGACCAAGAACTGGCAATGTTTCTCCCTTGGTCAGCATAGCATCAACCTGCACAATTTGGCTTGTAGGAGAGACTATGTCACATGCAGGTTCTGTGGTCTGTCACTGTGATGACTTGATCAATGACAGACACCAGCTCCTTGGCGACAGTTATCTGGAACCAAGGAAATGAAGGTCATCCTTTATTGAGAGGAGCACGCTCTGAACCTCAGTGCGAAAGAAAGGGGTAGGCACAATTGCGGTGTGCCTAAGTGCTGCCTGGTGGAGCTTCCCTTATGAATAGAATAGTGCCCACCAGACCACATTGTCCGTAAATTTATTAACTATGTTCAATACTTCCTTTCCCTTACACCTGCTTACTGTGTACATGCGTGAAATATATACATGCATAATAAAATATATTTAAAACCAATATAATATTAAAAGTTAACATTTCCACTATAAAATTTGCTTATACACTATTTATCATTATACGATTTCACATAATTTATAAACTTTTTACACAGTTCAAAGCCAACAAAGCATGCAGCATTCGCAGGAAACGCCCTCAGTAGAACCGGAACAATACCCTTGTATAAGGCAAATACACCTTCTGTTCTCATTAAGTGCGCAAAGACGTCCCTTAAACCATTTGGATATGTACCTGCAGGAGCTAAACACAAATCGTTAGAGCCATCGTACCAAAATTTGGTAATAGTTACCTGTTTGTAAACGACTTTTTAATACGTCGGCGGGCATGCCAATTAACCAGTTCGTAATTCCTGCGGAGCCACCAGCAAATATTGTACCAAGAATAGTAATGTCCTTTGTCCCATTGGCAGTTAAATATTGTTTAATTTTCTCGTAAGTCAGAAAATACAGTCCGCTTGCTGGCACATCTGAAAATTTTATTTTTATAAGAAAGAGACGGGAACAGAAGTTTGAATGACATTAACATAGATGACTTTAGTTTGCTTTTGGGAACTGAAATTATGTTTCTTGGGTGTGGTATTGTGGGTAGAGTACATTTTTCTGAAGAATTAAGCAATCCCAAGCAAAAACCATTGAAAGTAATACACGGCTATTAGGTATTCATTACAAAAGAGAAGTTACTTTGAAACGGGGCGCTTTTACCTAGAATTCGAAAAATCTCAGTTGGATCATTGAATAAAAAAAATTTTGTATTCAATGACCTTGTATATTGCACAAAGAATAGCGGTAAATTTGAAATGGTACCTATTCTTTAGCCAATCAGAGATTAATCTGTGCCTAAACCATGGCCTACTTATAGACATGCAATGAGATAAGTTTAAAATATGATGACCCAATCTTCACAGGGATGCACACTAGTACGTCCTCATACATCCTGATACATATACATACATCTTGACGTATGCGACAATCTGTTTTAGTGCCTTAGGCTAATACAGAGAAATATATTATGACAGATAATACACCATAAATAATGGAGTAGAGCGACTATTTTATAACCTTACAGCAATGAATCAATCACATGAATCCTAAACGTTGTAGCTTCCCAAATGCTTACCTCGCATAAGTGTGGCTAGCGAGCCGAGATAAATACTTCTAATTCCGCCCTGCTTATACAATTTAATAGCACAGTCGATAGGACCATTATACAACTTTGCATTAGAACTAGCACCCTGTTGGATCTGCAAAAGGCACTTGATTCGTTCACCGGGAGCCATAATACTCGTCGTAAATATACCAGAAAAGGCACCGGCTAGAAATAGGTGAGTGGCATCCTTGGAACCAAAAATTTGTTTTCCCACGCCGTAACCCATGAAAGAAATGGCGAAAATGGGAGCGACACCGGCTAATGGTGCACCCATTCCCTTGTATAAACCTCTAACTCCCTCTAACTTGACAGTTTTCTTCATGCAATCCCATGTCCCCGAGTACAAAGGGCTCTGGCCAGCTGCCGGAATGGGCATCGTTTGCAATCGAACCTAAACTTCATCAATTAAAGTCCGCTCGATTTTGCAAGTTAAACACCTTTACCTACCTTGATAGTGTCTAGCGGATGGCCAACGACTACGGTACAAACTCCACCGAAACCACCACAAAAAAAATATTCCAAAGGATTCATGTCAGCCATTGTATCGGTAAAAACTTAAGGATTTTGTAAATAAAAAAATGGTTTCACAACTATCGTCTAGTCTAAAATCTAAGGTACAGCAATATTGTATTATTACCTAAATAAAATGAGGTTAACAAACCTGTTATAAAACCAGTGTTGCCACGGTTCCCAAAATTCAAAATGCACAAAATCCAAGAGGTCTAATGAATGCCTTCGCGCCTCCCGAGTATTAAACAACAAGTTATCTACTGACTGGCCCTAAACATTGCTCAGTTACGATTACGCTCATTAAAATCAATTTATGGAATGTCGACATTGACAATACTGCTTTCTAAATTTAAATAAATAAACGAGTAAATGATTTTGAACTTTGTATTGTTTATCCCTATCGTAAACTTTATTTATACATAAGTACCTACACAAATAAATAAATTTGCATACGTCACATATGCAATATACCTACCGATTTCTACAGACTACAGACCTAAAATAAAAACACCTTTCACAAGGAAGGGCGTCTAGTAAATAAACAGGTACCTAACGAGAAAATTACGATCGATTACCTAAGACTTAAGGTCTACAAAAACATGTATTGTATTTAAACTCAAATTAGGTACATTTTATGGCTATATATTCCAAAAGTATGCAATAGGCAAGAAGCATAATTTTTCTCCCTTCTGCCAGCTCTACAGAATTATTATTTTTCAGTTGATCTCTAAAGCAAGTTAACCTTCTATGAATTTTAGATTTTACTGTACTGTACTGTACTGTACCCCTGAACCAAAATTACGACTTGAGTAAAAAATACACCACATTCAAAAATTGGGTTGTAATTTTCAATTCCATTTTCATATGAATTAGTCTACAAGATGGATCAGCAGGACATTTTTGCAAAAGTGCATTATCAATCAAACTCATTGAACAATTATTCAATTTAAGAAAATGCTATTATTAAAAAGCACACACAAAGTATGTGGCATTTCTCAACAAACTTGGTATCCACTTACATAAGAATTGAGGCCATTTCTAAACCTTTTGCAAAAATACAACTCATTACTAACAGTAGTGAGATGAAGACATAGGCCCTAGCATAGGTCTGTCTTCCTGGCAAATTTGGAACTCGTGGAATACTGACATCAAATTTATATCTAAGCAAATAAGTACATCTCTAAAATTGTATAAGCGAATTATTGCATGCATAACTTATACTACAGATAAACAAACATGAATCGTTTAACAAATTGATACTAAAAAATCTACTAATGTGCGTTTGCTTCTTGTGATAAATGGGATGTCCTTCGGATTACTGAATATCTGCTACGGATTTGTAAGCAAGTTTAACCAGTTTTTTGTCTTCTACGCTTTTCTAAAACCCGAAAGAATCTTCTGTTTCTTGTGGAACTTCTCCTCTTGGATTCACTTTATCTTCAATTGCAATACGAAATGTGACCCTAAGAAGTGTCAGTAAGCGCGAAAGAAATTATGATTTATATTTGAATACGTACCAAGACTCTCGATCTGATAAGATCTAGTTTTCTCCTTAATATGCTGGAGAACCACCTGCCATCCGATCCGCTGGCCCAGACCGATAACTTCCATCTCACCCAATAGCCAGACCGAGCTTGCGACGATTCCATGAATGAAATCCGTTTCACTATTTTAAGCTTGTAAAGAGCAAGAAGAATTACAAAAAAACGTTCAATTAATGATGACAAAAGCATTGTTTAAATTAAAGTATTTAAACAATGACAAAAGTAAACAACTATTTGAGGTTAATATTACCACACAATATAGGAAACGACATTATCGGCATTAATCTATCCGCCGTTTTAATTAAAGTTAATCTTCCTCTGTTCATGTTCTCCTGGTCCTCCGGCTTCAGATTTTATGTTCTATATATACAAAATGGCAAAAAAACATGGCCGCTTTTTCTGAACATCAAGTATGACGAGTTGCCTACACACCAGGGTACTCTGACATCTCTCGTGAATGTAGTGAACTGAATGATACTTGTTACCAATAAATGCAGGGCACTTTATATGTTGCATCATATTCTCACAGATGTCGCCACCCTATACAACTGCACTAGTGATAATATAGTTTCCTGTACTTTGTGACTTCAAATAGAATTCGATTAAGCAAACTAACGTTAGATGTCAGAACGATATTTTTTTTGAAATTTCGCGGCCTACCGTAAAAAAACAGATGGCATATAATTTTGCTACATTTATGCAGTACAAGTAAACAAAATTACAAAACTTTAGCATTTATAATCGCTTTCTGTGCACTTCATTAACTTTTCATTTACCCAACAGTTGCTATATGTTTGCGCGTCGAACAAACTATTTTTGTATTGTAAAACCCCTCTGTTACTTATTTAAATCATTGGAAATTTAATGAAAATTCAGTACGTAGGGTGCATGGCTTCAAAATGTTAATATTTACCTTAAAAATGGAATTTCAATTTAAAATTCGTCTCCTGCTCGGTTTGGCTATCGGCTGAAATGGAACTTATCGCTCTGGGCCAGCGGATCGGATGGCAGGTGGTTCTCGACTAATGAAAAAGCATATTAAGGAGAAAACTATAGGTCTTGGCATTACATTATCAGATCGAGAGTCTTGGTACGTAATTAAAATAAAAATTGTAGTTTCTTTCCCACTTACCGACACTTGTTAGGGTCACATTTTGAATTGCAATCGAAGATAGAGTGAATCCAATACAGAAGTCCTACAAGAACCTTCAGGCAAATACTAACAGAATATTCTCTTGCAAAGCGAACACATTCTGATGCCATGGAAGACAAGAAACTGTTTAAATTTGCTTAAAAATCGGTAGGAGATAATCAGAATGACATCTCATTGATCACAAGATGCAAACGAACATTAGTACATTGTGTAGTATTACTTTGTTAAACGATTTCTATATTTGTTTATCCACTGTATAAGTTAGGTATGCATGCATCAATTCGCTGGTGCTTCTTGAAAGATGTATTTAGATATTTTATATCATTGTTAGTTAGTTAGTTACACCGAAAGGTAAAAGGGTTTTTGATTATATATATATATATATGATTGTAAGAGGTCGAATTTGATAGCTGTTTAATTAAGTCTTCTAATAAGAAAAAGTGTTTTCTCGAGAAATTTTGGTGCAGTCGATTTTTGGAACAAAGGAAGGTTATACACTGCTTTTTTTTTGCCCCGAAAAAAACATTGTCTCAGATCGACCCGGAAAAAATTTTTCTTATAGAACGTGGCCTGTAGAATCCATAATTTCAAACAGTTCCAAGATTGGGCTACTAGTTCAAAAGTTACAGCCATTTGAATTTTCTTTCGAAATTGGTTTCTAGTCTATAACTTTTGATTGAGAAGTCTGATCGAAAAAGTACGAATTGTTTTGGATTCTACGCACCAAAATTAATAAGAAAAAGTGTTTTCCCGAGAAATTTTGGTGTAGTCGATTTTTGGTAAAAAAGGAAGGTTATACACTGCCTTTTTTTGAGCCCCGAAAAAAAATTGTCTCAGATCGACCCGGAAAAAAATTTTCTTATAGAATGTGGCCTGTAGAATCCATAATTTCAAACAGTTCCAAGATTGGGCTACTAGTTCAAAAGTTACAGCCCTTTGAATTTTTTTTCGAAATTGGTTTCTAGTCTATAACTTTTGATTGAGAAGTCTGATCGAAAAAGTACGAATTGTTTTGGATTCTACGCACCAAAATTAATAAGAAAAAGTGTTTTCCCGAGAAATTTTGGTGCAGTCGATTTTTGGTAAAAAAAGAAAGGTTATACACTGCCTTTTTTTGGGGCCCTCAAAAAAAATTGTCTCGGATCGACCCGGAAAAAAATTTTTCTTATAGAATGTGGCCTGTAGAATCCATAATTTCAAACAGTTCCAAGATTGGGCTACTAGTTCAAAAGTTACAGCCCTTTGAATTTTCTTTCGAAATTGGTTTCTAGTCTATAACTTTTGATTGAGAAGTCTGATCGAAAAAGTACGAATTGTTTTGGATTCTACGCACCAAAATGAATAAGAAAAAGTGTTTTCCCGAGAAATTTTGGTGCAGTCGATTTTTGGAAAAAAGGAAGGTTATACACTGCCTTTTTTTGCCCCGAAAAAAAAATTGTCTCAGATCGACCCGGAAAAAAATTTTTCTTATAGAACGTGGCCTGTAGAATCCATAATTTCAAACAGTTCCAAGATTGGGCTACTAGTTCAAAAGTTACAGCTAGGGAATGCAATCCCTCAGCAAAATCTCAATCCCGGTATTTGCGGGATCCTAGATGTTAATCCCGCGGGATCCCGGTATTTGCGGAATCCCGCAAAATTTTAAATAAATTGGCAAATAAGCAATTTTGTGCGGTTAACTTCTGTATTAAAATAAATCGCTAATTATCACAATAAATATTCAACAAAAAAGTACCTTCAGGCTAACTTAGAACTCAAAAAAATCACCTGTAAAGCATAAATAGGTGAACTTCTAAAGTGCCTCAAAAATCATTTTTAACGAAAAAAGTTTAACAATTTTTTTAAAAATAATTTCTCCGTTATGCGTTTCATTAACAAAGCTTACAAAGCAAACAGAGTCGTCCCCTTGGTCGACATTAAGCATAAGTGTACCCTTATTTGAAAGATTACCCCAAACATTTGAAGGGTTAATTACCAATCAAGACACTATTTGACAATGTATGTCTGAAAACACCACTACAACCAGACAACCAAATACTAATAAACTCGTAAATATTTATTGCTCGATTTATTGTTTATGTAATTTATTCTTTCATTAGTAACTAATATACCTATAATCATTGATTATACACACCTATAATCAATGATATAATCAAAAGTTTACTGGTTTACTCACGTATTCAGCTTTTTCAGATAAGTACAACAGCAAAATGCGAAAAAGGGCGGGATCACTTGGATATTTAAAATAAGTCATGTCATTTGTCATGCAGAAATAGAAACATCTCTATTCCACGATTTACGTATTATTTCCTTATGATTTATCTTATGACAGCCATATCATATGACAAATCACATGAGAAGTATGACAGTGTAAAGGTACCTTAAAACAACTTTGCTTAATTTTATGGGCATGGTTTGTGATGGTCTTAACCAGGGGAAACGTATCATTTGACATGGTCGACCATATATAATACACTGTATTACTGTATATAAATATGGAGTAAGGGCAGGGAGAACACAACGCGATAAAATAAATGGAATTCTTAGTGATATTGGTATAATTAAATGTGGTGCACCGCAAGGGTCCGTTCTTGGCCCTATATTATTCTTAATTTACATAACTGATCTTTGTAATTATGCACGCCTACAAGGTACAGTTACTTCATTTGCAGATGATAGGGCCTTATGTTCACTGCTAATAATTAGGTATGAGGACTATCAATAGTGACCTTGTGGCACTGCAGTGGTGGTTTACTCAAAATAAGATGGTCCTAGGTTCAGAAAAAACGACCTATATAAATTTTAGTCTTAGAGATCCGTTCGTTAGTTTTAATGCATTAGTTATATAATCGTATAGACTGCTCTTATGTGAAAATTTTATTTGTACTATAGACTGTGTGCGGAGATTAAAGCCTGTAATTATGTAAAATACGTATAGTAGGTCTGATTTTAGATTGTGAAGTAAACTGGAAATTACACATAAAGGTATTACAAATCCAAATTAAGTAGTAGTGTCCTAAAAATCTTCTATTTTCTAAGAAAAATGTGCTCTCATAGTACTACATACTTAGTCGATTGGATTATGAAATCTCGTGTTGGGAGGAACCTATAAGACCAATTGTATCACTGCTATAAAACTTTAAAAGCAGTTTATCAGAATTATTTTAAATAAGAGAAAAACATATCTGCCATAATCAATGTTTGTCTGCAAAGTTCTAAAACCTTTTTACGCATTTAGTGGGAATTTACCCGATGTCGATATAAGTACACAATAAATTATCAAAGAAGTTGCTATCGTTTATCGATTTCAGATGTTGAATTTTTAATTGAAGTGCAGGGGTAGGTATAGCTAGTGCACCTACGTGTATTAGCCATTCAATTATCCGCCACTTCTACAATATATATGGTACCTATACTATATTATAGTAATGTAATTTACTTAAATAATTTTTAATTCTAGTACATACCACTTTGCTGTCAGTTCCCTGAGCACAAATTCATCCGGGATAAACTGAAGAGAAAAGGAACGGTTTCCATTCTGAAAAAAGTTTTGCCATTTTCAAATTTGATAATACCAGTCGGAATGGAAATGTTTTACTAACATGCATGACTGTAGTACCCATGGTCTGCTGGCATTCTTGGGGTCTTAGGATATTCAGAGACCTTTGAGAGTCCTACTGATATACAAACACCATCATCCGTTCGGTGTGGAAAATGCTCCACAAAAATTCTAATGGCAAATAATTTTCTGAGCGCTCATTGCTCAACTTGCAATGCCCGGGTCTCGTTGTACTCGACAAATGGCAGTTTTGTACAGACTTGGAACAAGCGCAACCTTTTATGCATATCTAGAGACTGACGGAATTCTGACGATGCCTTTTTAACATCATCTACATGTGTACTTCCAGTAACGCTATTCTCTATTTTTGAGTTTTATTATGTGCTTTGTTAATCCCTGGATCCTAATAACGTAACTCGTAATTTCTCTTTATAAAGCAAACAACTCCCTACAGATTTCACATATACCTACCGTATAAAATTGAAAACATGTGAACTTCAGTTCCCGTTGGATAGTATAAATATTATATGCCATACGTAACGCTGAATTACGTCAGAAGTGTAAGCTTCCATATCGCATTATTGACAGTCTATTTTGATTATGGTTACTGTGGGAGGCATATTAGGAATATTAGCATGAAATTCCGATAACATACCTACTAATCAGGAACTCGCACAATGGAATTCGTATACGTTTGGCATGCGACTGTATTTCCCTGCGTACTTAACTCATGACCTTTTCTTTTAATCTTTGGTTTAAATATTTGTTCAATGTGGGCATTTTCTGTTTCCACCTATTGGAATGTATCAGAAAAGGTAAGTTTTGGTGCATTTTACTCATTTTTTATTCTTTCTATGGGTCAAAGAAACACCTTTATTGATTAAAACACAATGCTATGTGCGTTCAGTGTTTCGGCTCTTCTTGAATATATCAAAATACTAAACAAAATCAATGCGATATTGGAGTTGTTATAAACTAATGCAAATTATTATTATTAAAAATTATTATATTATTAATATTAGAATATTAGCATTGGTTAGTATTTCACGAGAAAAATCTATAGGCTCATATTTGTATTTGTCCCATACCTTGCATTTGTCTGTTTGTAGGTCCTGTAACGTACCTTAGCTAACCAAAACATGTAACGACAATGGAGTTTCGTCAAATAATAACGTGTATGTTTTAAAATTCCACGCCACTAGAAATACTTGATTTAGTTATCTATGATGAATAATGGTGTTTTTGTACCTATTTGAAAAAATAAAAAATGAGTAAAATGCACCAAAACGTACCTACTTTTTCTGATGCATTTTTTTTGTTCATTTTACTTACTCCAAATTATTTCAAAGCAGTATAAACATACAAGTTGCATATAAAAAAACAAACGAGATTGTTTGTAACAACGAATAAGTATATACGCTAAACAAATAACAAGAATATTTGTTGTTTTCCAAAGTTTCGCTTGCTATAGTTCAAGTGTTTGACGAAATATGTGTAGAAAATGACTCGGTGGTTGCGCCCCCACCAGACGTCGTATTAGGTCTGAGTAGCCCTTTGGATATGGACGCAACAGCTTTGGACCATTTTTTCAAACTTGAGACAATACAGAAGTTTACGAGCAAACAATCGCGTGATTTTTTAGTAAGTTTTCTAAACTGAATCCTTTTTTCCTAATTTCTAAATCCTCTTCCAAGACCCTATGAACCGTATCTCTGTTTTTTGGAAAGTTTAATAGGTCAAGAGGAAGTAATACGAGTAGGAGTTGTTGCGAAAGTGAGAAGTGGAAAATAGGAATAAGTTACAAATGAGGAACATACAAGAGAGAGTCGAGGAAGTGATAAAAATGTTTCCGTTTTACATTTAGTAGTCAAGCATTACCTATATACCCTGTACCTGCTCCGCCCCAAATATGTGTCCCTGAAAATGCGAACTCAATCTAGTAAAAAGAGTATTAGGGTTACTCTTTGCTGGAACATCGTCAACAACAACTTTTAGACAAGACCTAGATGGGCGCTCTAAAAATCCACTATGCAGTGGAGAAATTAGATTGTGGGTGAGAGAGAAAAAACGTAAAATTCTTCAAAATTTCGCGGGCCACCTCTCTGGTACGATCCCCTCTGTATTTGATTGATCTGTTTGTACACAAAAACCTATAGAAATAATAAACAAATTGGGACACATTTATGTAAATAAATATAATGCCCATACGTAAGGTGGGCACCACGAAGGCTCATCCCTGGCTGTTTGGTTGCATACCAAATATCAAATACAAACATAAATGAGAATTACTTTTGCAGTGCAAGGGGGGGGGGGGGCGATGTCTTGCACATGATCTGGTTAGTCGCTTCCAGTGACCAATAATTATTGACCAAATGGTGGATATTGCTAGAGTAATGTGGCTAGCTTCACAACCTTAAGCTTTCCCGCCTAAATGAATAAACAAATAGTACAACTTTCCGAGGCAGAATTAACTATATAATTTCGGTCGTGGAATTTTCTTTTAAATTTTGCATTCACCTGCCCAGCCTTATCGTGCCCTGCATTTACGTAACAGTCTCGCTTATTTGCGCTCGCTTTAGATAAGGACGGCGACTACATTTTGGAAATATCTTAATTAGGACGCAATGGTCAAAGAAAATTATCTTTCCGCGAACGGTATCGTTTATTAATAGGAATGACAGAATGGACGCGATGAGTGTAGGTCTCGCTAAGTTCATGACCGTATGTTGGTATTTTTTAGGAATATGAGCGTTTGGTAGATTTAGTAGGTAACAAGTTTAGGGTATTGGAATTGTTGGGGGGAAAGTGTCGGGAGAGTAAATTTTGAGGTGGCAAATCGCGTTCTATTTTTGTTCACTGGTATTTCGGTTATTTGAATTTTAGTTTTATTAGTTTAGGGAGTTTGGTGCGGTTGGCAGAATTCGTCCGTCTCTCTTTTGCGCAATCACGCGTGTTGTAGTCGTCTCGCTCGTGGTGTGTTTCTAACCGGATCTTTTTTACATTTCCGAGCTGTATCGCGTACATTTCGACGTAAGTATTGCCGTTTTATTCTAAGATTGTACGTTTAGCTTTGCCTGAATTAGTTGTCTGTACGGAATTTGTGCATTTTGGTTCGATTTTCGTCTAAATTTGGCCTAGTAACATTTCTAACTTCAGTGCGCTGGATGTCCCTGCGTTATCGTTTGTGAACCCCACATTGATCCGTCGCTGCGCTGTCGTTACTCGTTAGCTAGCCTTTGCTCCTTACGTTAGTATAGTCGTTATCTCTAGTCGTGTACGGTGTTTTATAAGACTAGACTAATAGTATATTGGCGTCGACTGATTTGAATAAACATTTTTATAAGTAACTGTAAGTACCACTATTTTATTAAAAATATTGCATATTTGTCCTAAACCGCAAAGCGAAAATTGGTAGCGTGGTTTTGTGCTCGAAATGCTTGACCTTCAACGGTTTCTTCGATATATCGGGTGGCACAAATTCTATAAATTAATTAACCGAGATCATTTTTTTCGTTACAATTAGTGCCTTTGTCCGAATAGTGTACGATAATTATTAAATACCAAAGTAATGTTTCACGCTCGTGTTTAGTAATCGGCTGCCATCACCCCTTCTGTGTGACGCATCATTGCCGCCATACTAATTTTTCTCGTACGGATTAATATTTCGATTTTCAACTGTATACCACCGGAGTAGAGTTTGATTTTCACACCTTCATCCCCTAACGGCCTGATAATATCGAAATATTGTGATTTGCGTCGCATTAAAAGGTGTGGCAGACGCCATATTGTCATGCTTAGACCGGTAGTCCTCGGTTGAGTTTAGTACATTCTACTCGCCCGGTTTTCTCATTTATCAATACAAGGGGGTGGAAATACCGAACGTTTCTCCCTTATCTTTTGAAGGGCACATTATTTTTAGAACAACATCCCAGCAGTCTCGTTAGGTGATATTTTTATTTTATCGGTAAGTCCTATTTTTTTAACCCTCAATTTTTTCGAATTTACGTTACTAAACGGTTACGGAAAAAACGCAATGCGGATAAATACTTTTCGTTTTTATTTTCTTAACTGTAACTGGGGTACAGAAGCTATCTCCAAAACGATAAATTAATCTGATAAGGAAATCTGAACGATTTTTTTATGTCGCATGAATTGATTTTGCCTTTTTTGTTGACGAAATTGATTTTGAAATTTACAAAGCGTGCCTCTCGGTGTTTGGCATTTCGTCTCCTTTATTTGATTATTATTTAGTGTAGATAGACGTCAGTTAGGATGTGCAAATTCGATAATTTACACAAACTATCATTACAACTGCAGTCGCATCAATCCCCCCCCTGACAATTTTAGATTGCAAATCAATGTACTTTTTATTTGTAGTTTTGCACCTTTGGAAGCGGGCCAAATTTTGAACAAAATCAATATAGTCTCTCGCATCCGACGATTAATTGAGAAATGTGTCAATTTTTGATACTACGCCTACTAATCGCAAGGTTAAGCGAAAGTTTGAAATTCTTTCGGCTCGCGTACATCCATATAGATCGATCACGTAGAAATTATGTGCGGATGACGAATTGGTATTTCGTAAAATGAGCCAGAAGTTTCACTAAACCGGTACTAAACCGTTAATTCGTTCGAAAAACTGTTACACGGGAGGAGGTTATAATTGCTTAATTAAATATCAAATCTGTCGATCAGCCTATTTGATCAGATCTCTTCAGTCCGTGCAACTGTAAGTCACGTCTGAATCTCAAGGTCGATTATGCCGCCCATCGCAAGACCCAGAAAAGCAATACATTAAATCCATAAAATGAGTACGTGATACATTTTATTGTATAGCCCGATTTCTAAATGCGTCATTATGACTGATACATTTCTTTCATTATAACAAGGCATTTTTTAACTTGTTTGCTCTATTTAATTCTTTTTGCTAATTAATTAGACATTTGGGATCAAACAAACAATCCGAAATCGAAGTAACCGCGCAGTCAACACACGAGTTATAGTTACATTTTCCAATTCTCATAGTTCTCTTTCAGATTCTTCAGAAACGTTTTATATCTGATCTGTTTTGTGGAGCGAGTACTTTACAGTTCAAGAACAAATCAAGAGCCCGTCTGAAATTTTCTTAATTTTCTACTTCAATTTGAAAATGGAAGAATCCAATCACATTCTTTCTTTTCATATATTTCTGACTTGATGTTTTCAAAGTTCTCCTGTATACTCGACAAGATGTTAATTACGAATGATGGCTACAAATTGAAACTGTTTTGATCTTCTAATCTGATCCTAGTCGCAGACATTTACTTCATTAGAAGCAAAAAATATGTTCTTTGTGGCAGTTCTTTCATTCGAATCAAGACTGAAAACCGAGAAGCTGGTCTGAAACTTATGGACGTTTTCATTTGTCAAATGACATTTACAATTTCATATTTTCAAAGTTCTCTTTTAGACTCTACAACGTGATAAATGACTGCTACAAGAAACTATTTCAATCTGCCTTGTCCTTGTCGCATTAGAAGCAAAAAACTTTCTGCATGCCGGTACCTTCCGGTCACATACACCCGGAGAATCAAGACTGAAGTGTAACTGAGAAGCTGGTCTGAAATTTGTCGATGTGTTTTCATCCGCAGACATTGCCAAATGGCAAAAATTTACAAGTTTCTGTTTTTAAAGTTCTCTTGTAGACTGTAGACTACAAGATGCTAACGAATGACACTGTTTTGATCTTTATCCTCAAGCAAAGAATATTTTCTACATACCAGTGCCCTTTAGTAGCATACATTCGAAGAATCAAGACTGAAGCGCCAATATAACCGAGAAGCTGGTCTGAAATTTCTCCTGTGTGTTTTCTTTTGTCAAATAATAAAGATGTACGTAGTTTCTTGTTTTCATAGTTCTCTGTCGGCAAGACAGTGTAACTGAATTTTTGATATGTTGTTTTCTTGCTGCGGAAATTCGCCTGCAGCGAAAAATATTCTCTTCGCACCATTTCCTTTCAGTTGAAATGTACTGAAAGAGTCGAGATTAAAGAACCAAGAAGTCTGTCTGAAATTTTGAATTTGCAAAGGGAAGAGGTCTCTATATAGATCCATTGAAATCTGGATGCCAAATTATTTCACGTTTTGCATGCTCGGACTCGTCAAAAACAAATCAGTGATTGCTTCCAAACAGTTGTTTTCATAAACCTGAGGATGTAGCGAAAATATCTGCTGTTTTGATGGTTGCTGGATTTTCTTTGAAACGGAAGAACATCTCTTGGCTTCTTAGAAACTACCTCTTATGTATTTCTAGTCGGTAATCGTGTTCTGCCTTCAGTTCTAAACCATAGCAAATCCAAGTGCAAAAGAAAGACGCACTTCCATATTTACTGCTAGTGGAATTCACGTTTGTTTGGTTTCCGTTATTGGAACCCCTAACTTTTTAAAACCAGATTTTTTTCCACCTTCTGGTCACACTCTTGCTCGAAAGCGTGCGTTTACTGTTGCACCTTATGCAACAAAAAACTTTTTTTGTTCCCTATTACTGTTGTACACGTTTGAGGTTAAGATGTACAAAATTTAGAGATTAAGGCTCCATCTACTTCATGCCGTTCGCTTATTGTACAGTTGCTCCATTGATCACGCGACCTGTTCCGCCCTTCTGCTATATTCCCGAAACGAAAAATCGAACGCACCTATTGAATTCTCTAAGGTTTTCTAATTTGAACGTCTCCCTAAAGGAGGTGGTGAGGCTGTGAGAGAGGTAGCTAGAATAAGGGACTGAGCTTACGCTCACATTTAATATTTCATGGCGTTTTTCTGCTCTAACGCACATTTGATTCATTCAGTCAAGTCGCAGTGTGTTCTCAACAGGGAGTACTTAGCATAATCTCAAAACCTTGAACGGTTGTAAAACATCGCCCGCTTAAAAATGAAAGAGAACATGAATGTGGTAAGAGGTACACAGTCCCTAGGAGGTTTAATTTGTCCCAGAAATCTGTAGTGAAGCAGAAGAATAAGAATATTTCCGATAGGTATTTTTAGAAACAAAAAAGTTTCCCATGGAAAATAAATTGATCCCAAAATATATGACTTCAGATCTGCATAAGGTGGATGATGCAATCATTATTGTTTTGTGGACACCGGTGGGTGTTGTACTTGTTATTCAAAATCAAGGTGTTCGTCTCAATAGATTCTAATATAATTTAATGGAAAGTTGCAAAATACGTCGCTCTATTTTAATTGTTAAAAATGAGATCGTTTTGCTTTGGAGTGCTACCAAATGTTGTTGAACTTTGAATATGGAAACTGCTTTTTATAGCAACATTTATGGTTGCTTCTTTCCATATTAATGATTATGTACACTCATACAATAACTATTTACCATGAAAGTATGTGACGTGGTCGCGGAGATATTTATCGTATCCACTTCTGCTACAAAGACGGAACCAACCTGGCATCTAGTAGTCTTTTTTTTTTAAATGAAAGTTTATTCTAAGCCTGCCCTGCGCTAATAATAAATCCGCCTTTAACATATATTTTTATAAGTGCTAATTTCTCTATTTCACCAAAAATTTTGGTTCACATTCTTAGCGTTATGTAAGTCCCAATTGCCTTTTTCAGTAATTTATTAGTAATGGTCAATCATTTTTCAACAAAGTGGATATATTGCGTAAACAGTTTCGTATCAAATTATTTCGCGGCGGAAAAATACGGAGGTCCTTTTTTGATAATTAGAATTGTTTTTTGTTTGTTAATTAAACATCCCACTTGGTTGCGTTAATTGGCGAAACTTCAGTCGAAAATAAGTGCCATCTTTAAATAAGATTTACGCGCCTGAAATGTATGGGATGCTCTTGTCAATTAACAATGTAACAATTTATCCCACTTCCTCCGTTTCTGTTTAATGACAATGAGATCTGGTCCATACAAATGAAACGAATTATGTGGGAATTGTGACGGATGGGAATTTTATTCAAATTGTTTTTATTGATTTACAAAACTGGACACGAATCAACTTATTTATTCCTCTCGATCAAATTCAGTCAGGCAGATGGCAAATACCATTTAATATTGATAAATTTGTATATCTTATCTATCGAGGTCATATTAAGTAATCAATTGACAGTAAATTGAAAATATTTTGGACTTTCAAACGGCGTTTTACTGTTGCTGATTATAACGTGGTCGCGTTCGGGATTTTTTTTTATGTAATGTTCTTCGTTTTTGTATGGTGGGAACGTTTCGAAATCCTGTACGGCTTTAAATGGTGGATGTTGTGTAATACCGCGACTTGTATGTTAATTTTTCTTTTAACGTGGAAATTCGTAATTTGATGCGAAAAGAAGGCACTATATTAAATCATGGAAGGGCACTTCTTTGCGCGAAATGTGTTTTTTGTACAAACGCTCATAAAAGTTATCTGATTTTGACTTTCTTTTTGTCGCAGGATAGATAATAGATATTCACAATGTCCCAAGTCGATAAAGAAGAATTAGTCCAAAGGGCAAAACTAGCAGAACAGGCAGAACGTTACGATGACATGGCTTCTGCCATGAAGTCAGTCACAGAGACCGGCGTCGAACTAAGTAACGAAGAACGCAATCTCCTGTCTGTCGCATACAAGAACGTAGTAGGTGCTAGGAGATCGTCATGGAGAGTAATTTCCTCAATTGAACAAAAGACTGAAGGGTCCGAGCGCAAACAACAAATGGCTAAGGAATACAGGGAAAAAGTCGAAAAAGAGCTAAGGGAAATATGTTACGATGTTCTCGTAAGTCTACGACTTTAAGTTTTCTACATCGACCTCTACGTACACTTTCTAGGCTTTACTGGACAAATACCTGATTCCCAAAGCGAGTAACGCCGAATCAAAAGTCTTTTACCTTAAGATGAAAGGAGATTATTACAGGTATTTAGCCGAAGTCGCCACAGGGGACACTAGAAATAGTAAGTATCTCCTTTACTACCTTTCATAAGGTTTTCTTTGTATGACTTTTACTGCATGGTTCACATGACTTTCAGCCGTGGTAGAAGACTCACAAAAAGCGTATCAAGACGCTTTCGAAATTTCAAAAGCAAAGATGACTCCTACACATCCAATCAGGTTGGGTCTGGCACTCAACTTTTCCGTTTTCTATTATGAGATACTAAATTCTCCAGATAAGGCGTGTCAGTTAGCGAAACAGGTTAATGTCCATTCAGTTCATTTTAGAAGCAGAATTACATGTGGACCAATTTTATTTTCAAAAAAGCAAACGTTTTTTGACAGAGATGGGAAGAATAACTATAGCATCTTTAGAATTTGTTACTTTCCCACATTTATTAACGTATTTTCAAAATTTCGATAAATACCATTACCAAAGTGAAATGGGAAACTGTATTTTAAAATGTAATTTAACCCCCAAATTCATGCACTATACAAAATAAGTAAAGATCAAAACAACACTCACAAAAAATGCGTTGTGACTTCAGGGTAAAAGCCAAACGATGTGGAGGGGTAGCTTGCATTTCTGTGGAAGAATTTGTTATTTAAGATCAGTTGATTTTTAGTATCTTAAGTATGTAATAGTTACAGTTACTCCCAACTCTGTTTGTTGATTGTTTTATTGTTCTGTAGCGGTGGTAGAAGACTCGCAAAAGGCGTACCAAGAAGCGTTCGATATAGCAAAGTCCAAAATGCAGTCCACACATCCGATACGGCTTGGCCTTGCGTTAAATTTCTCGGTATTTTATTACGAAATTATTAATTCGCCAGCGAGAGCCTGCCATCTTGCCAAACAGGTTATGAATGTGTTTCTTGTATTGAGATGAGATTAACACGAAGTTGCTTTAACAAATTAGTTCGTGCCACATGTAATTCTGCCTGTCTTACTAACTTCTTAATACCGTATTCCCGACGCTCGTTTGCTCGGTGTGTGATTTTGTTTATCTTCTTTAGGCGTTCGACGATGCGATCGCGGAGTTGGACACCTTAAATGAAGATTCATATAAAGACAGTACTCTTATAATGCAGCTCTTACGAGACAATCTCACATTATGGACGAGCGACACACAGGTATGTATTTAGTTTAAAGATTCGCAGGTGTCAATAGTGTTTCTCTTTGCAGGGTGAAGCGGACGAGCAACAAGAGGGGGGTGATAATTAAAAGTGTGGCGTCCATTTTTAAACAAAAATAATCGTTAAAATTGAAATTTCATGTAAGTTAACGTATTTGTGGAACTTGGTTGTGAAATTTCTTTGGAAGTTCAAGTTTCACATCTGAAACTTTTGATATTTCAGTAACTTTAGTGAAATAAAAAAAGTATATTTATTTAATATTTCGCAAAAGTATTTCAGTAAAATTTTTTAGTTACTTACTTTTAGACCATTGTCTGCCATTTGATTCAGCTCGAAAAAAATGTGTGATTTGATGTCAAATGTGTAAAATAGTTTTGTTCATTTTTCACGTTAGTATTTATAATTTATTTTGATTCAGTAATTTAAGCTCTTTTATCTTGTTATACATTTAAATTTTTAAGCTGTTTAGTTCTATTTTTTTATTTTTTATTCATCCATTGTTAAAATAATCACTAAATTCATACATATACCTCTTTATACGTTAAAACAACATCTATACCTTAGCCCACAAAATTTGTTTGCACACTGCTGCATGAGCCATATCGCGTTCCCCCTTGTTTACCGTTGACACTCACTTTGGATGTGCTATATATAAATGTATGAATATGTATTAAAATAAACTGCTATCAGCTCTACTTGTTTTCTGTTGTATCTGTGAAATATTTGTCAGATACCAATAAATTTTTAAAAACAGTATAATACCATACTTTTATTGTTGAAAACCCTTCGATAATCGGTGTGCGAGAAGATAGTTAGGACATCGGTACTATTTAAGATTAATGACCATGCACAACACATACCTTCATACACACGGACATCTTCATATTCAAATAATTCACTACGACCCATGGTCACAATTACATCTTATACCATCGTTAGGTTAATGTTTTCATCCAATAGACGCTAAGGCTTGAAGTTGACATAGATCGCCTAGAAAAATAAATATTAACAAACTCCCTTATATTATCTATAAAAATTTACCTTGGAGCACTATCAGTTGATCGTCCAGACAATACAATGGCCCATATGAATAAAAGGGAGCATATGCTTATACTTGAAAAATTCAAAGTAAATACTCGTAAGAGCCTCTTCACACTGGGCGACTTAAACCGCGTTGGTGAGCAGCCCAGTGTTTCTTTGAATTTTGCGAGCATAAGCATATGCTCCTTTTATTCATATGGGCCAATAGGTCGTAGTGTGAACGGTTTCAATCTGTTTAACCACCGTACTTGATTATTGTCAAGAACTTGTAACTAGTTGGTTCAACTTTTTCTTTTTGACATGCTCTTTTTTGCATTGTGAATCATTCCTAGATATTTTGCATGTTTTTCATTGGGTATCGTTTCCTGATTCACCACGATAGGTAAATAATTAATTTTTCTATCAGTGTAATTAACGAGCATTGATTTTGAATTTACCTTATCTGTGGCAGCTTGTAATTTGTTTGTGGTGTTTCCTACTGCTATGATGGCAGGGTTGTCAGCAAAGGTTGCAATGGTAGTTTCTTCTATGTCTAGTATGTCATTCGTTTAACTTCCTTGTGGAACTCTACCCGATATTCCTTTTGTATCTGAGCTGGCATCGTGTTTTACTCTGCAATGAAGGAGTTCAGTAGTTGGCTGTGTTGTTTAGACAGGATTTTGTTACCTTTTCATGCCAGACTCCATCGAATGCCTGTGCAGAAATATACTGGAGCAGATCTTTTCCTCTAGATAGCTGTATTTTTGTCGGGTTAATGGACAATAAGGAATGTTCCCTGCGCCATTCTTCGGTTACTCCTAAGAGCTGATTGATTGATGATGATCAGTTTCGCTACAGAGCCCCAAATTTGCCGGACACTACAATAAGTCATCTACCCGATAGCACCCTTATATGTCTTTTATAAAATTATGTCCACAATCATATAAGCGTAACATACACCACCAATTGACGTAATTTTTAGATGTATATTATGTACTGATATAATTCATTAGCTAAATCAAATTTGTAAAATTAAACTGGTGCCTGTGATGAATGATAAAAACTTTTTCCGTTTAAAAACAAAAACCTAGTGATAGACTACGTTTCCACATTCACAACCCATACCTGGAAGTGTATAACAACATAAACCAATATCACATATTGCAACAACCGTCACAACAAACTATCCAACAACTTAATAGCAACCATTACAACAAATGACATACCAACCCTTTTCAAATGTTACACTTGTAACAAACGACACCTCCAACAATCAATTCGCAGAAAACATTGCTGCCTAGTATTCCTCAAACACCTTACCCCGCCAAAGAATTATCATAATGTAGAAAATATGGAGGACGACAAAATTAACGAGGACCTTGATGACACAGAATGAGAAACAGGTGAACAGCGCTGGTAAAATGTAACGAAAAGAAAAATCGGCAAATTGACTCCGGACGCGGAGGTGAGAGGAGGGATTCTAATAATTTTATGATGAAGGTAATGCAATACCGGGATCCCGCAGCATTTTTGCGGGTTTAGTCCCGTACATAAATGGAGCGGGACTGAGCAATTTGTCGACCAAGGGGACGACTCTGTTTACTTTGTTAATGAAACGCATAACGGAGAAGTTATTTTTAAAATAAATGTTAAACTTTTTTCATTAAAAATGTACTATGATTTTTGAGGCACGCAAATACCGGGACTGCATTCCCTACATGAAGGCATAGTGACCTTCATTTACGCCGTTCTCCCTTAATATCCAACCATCAGATCTCTTTACGTTTATGAGTGATAGGTGCTCCCCTTCTTATACCAAAGATCAGCCTCAAGAATAAAAGAGATTTGTGGTGGCATAACTTAACACTGTTCGGGCTACTGTATATCGTCTACCCTGAAACATATGACCGCACACTTCTCTGCGTTAACACTATGGCAGTGATCAGCAGAAGTAGCACATTAAGATCCCCATTAATTAATTTAGCAGCTAACGTCGCGTGTAAATAGTATAGAATAAAGGACCCAGTATTGACCCCTGAGGGACTCCTCTAAATTAAATATTAATTAACATAACGTCACATTGATTAACCATCTAACACAAAAATTATACAAAGAGTCCAGTAATAGTAGTAGCAAAGAGTACCCTACTCTTTGGTAGTAGTACAAAGTATGCTAATACTTATATATCCATCCGGATTTCAATTGCTGCTTTAGCGAACCATGAAAATTTCCCAAGAAAATAACATCTAAAAACTATTTTCATTTCCCTAGGTATCGTCAAGGTACTTTTACAACCCCTCAGAGTCCAAACCCTATTGTGGGCAGGGGTAGTCAATCCCTGGGGCATCCCACAACCCTGAGGACTTCTGTCGATCAAGTTTCCCTTATCAGTATCACCTCTTTAACAAGTTATAGTCTACTCCTGTATCTGCAAATGACAATCAACCTTTTACCAGAAAAACCTGGAATCAGAAGTCCATCGTATACTCAACATAGGGATGTGAAAGATGTGCTACTCATGGCAGTATATAGTTTCCTATGTTACGTTTAATGAGTGATCGTCGAGAACCCTTTCGGATTTTTCTACTCCATGAAGCATGATGTCAATGATACGGCATCCTTTGAACCAGATTTACTGAAATCTGATCATACTTTATGTTAAAGCCACGAAGTCTACTTAGCTTCGCCACAGAAAAATTTGACTACTAAGCCCTACCACCACGACAAGTTGTACCCCGTGGTAGGGATACAAAGAATGCAGTTAAAAATCTTCCGTACAGTGTGGTCAATGCACCCTGTGGTAGGTATGTGTCCAACCTATCACTACATAATGACCTAAAAATTCCGTTTGTCGCCGCAAAAATACACATGACATCATCAACCCTCTACAACCTAAAGCTGCAAGCTCATGAATACAGCCCTCTACCATATATAGCTCTAACGCTAGTGAGTAATTTTATATAATTTAATAGGTGTGTTGCTGATTAACATCAGTGTCCCATTTAAATGAGTAAGTGGCTGTACCCTGTGTGCTGTACCTAATTAATTGTTTATACAAAGTGCACACAAATTCTAAGCTATTGTGCCTTCCGCTTTGCAATCATAACTGGATCTCAGGTGATCAATCAATCAAATCAATGATAAAGATATAAAATTTCTATGTAGTTCTAGTTTAAGTACAGCATCCCAGTGCCATGTAATTGGAATCTTGCATTCTGTATGGTGTCTGCCCAAACAAATAAACAAACTGATGCACCATAAAGTAAAGGGCAAACTAATTCACTGAGTTTACCTCCTATAGGATGCAAAATTTTGTAAGAGACGAAAGGAAATTTCTTTCCGCTTCACCTGACGAGATTGAGATCAAATCCTTCATGTGTTGAGGAGTTAACAAATCGATTTGATGGCATTTAGAACGGAAATGGAATTAGGGACTAGGAGTTGTATTGAAATGTCTGAAAAGTTCAGTGCTCTTGAAGGCTTTGGATGTTTTTTAAGTTCCTCCAATGTATAGTTGTTGTAGTAATTGTCAAAGCATCTGATGAACTGATCAATTTGACTACTCTTCTTATGTCTAGGTCACTAATCTTACTTTCAACGCGTTCTGTCAAGGACTTCTGTTTGAAATTAGGTTTTCCTACTTTTGGTATGGAATCTGATGTCAAAAAAGATATAAGTACCTTTCTTTTGCACAGTAATATTGAAAACTTTTTAGGCGAACAGAAACAATTCCTCTCCTCCCATGATAAAGGGGTATTTTCAATCACTGTATACAGTTGAAATGCAAGTAAAATCCTTGTTCCTTTAGGAATTAGTTTAAGTGTTTTGGAAGTTTCTTTGAGTTTGACAATCTAACTGAGCGTTTACGTCATGATTAGATGTTAAATTTAGAAAATCCTCTACATTAATTGTGACTCCCGTGTGTATACGTGTGAAGTGAGTTCGGATTCCTAGAGGAAGGACATAGGTACGAGGATTATTTTCTGGACATAAGGAGCATTTTAATCTTTCCTTAACATGTTCCAAAGAGCTCGTAAGCTGTTCCCATGATTTGTGGGATGTGAGATGTTTGAGATCAAGAATGGAGCACAAACAACAGTGTCTGCCACACGTGTACATATATACGTGTCACTTCCCTATGAGTTATGACAGTAAAAATGTCCATGTGACGTACGTCAGCGAAACCTGCATAATTGGCTGGTGGCGCAAGACCACCTCCTCACTGAACAACTTTAAAATGTATGGAAAACAAACCCGAAACACATACACTACAACACAAAAAATAATAACACCGAAAAATACGGAAAAATTGAAGTGTGAAGCTTTTGATAGACTTATCGATCGCTGTTCCTACTTCTTAGGTATATTGGTTTTGATGCCATGTCAACACGTATAGTTGAAAAACAAATACTGCTTACGAATTGGTTGCAGGGTTCCTCTGGGGTAAAAACAACAGACCAATATTTCCACCCCCATGCCCTCGAATACCACCTTCAGCATAATGCGAAAGTCCCAACTTATCAAGGTCACCTCCGATCTTTACAATTGCCAACTTGGTAACGCCAAGAATTTGTAGTGATCGTTTCAAGTGCTATAGCGCAATCTAAAAATCTTCGTAAGCAGGTTCAACACAAGACCGGTCTTTTGTTACCAGATAATAAAGAAATCGGCTCTGCTCCAGTAGGAAGCATGCTTTACCAACATCAGGACGTCGAAGGGCAATACCTTGGATATCTTGACGTCCTTGGCTACGCAGTGAGCCAAAGTGAATTTCCACTGGTGCCTCAAATAAATCTTAAGATTCTTGACGGACAATACCAAAGCGTACCCCTTGGGCTCCAGAGCAACGTGCCATAAATTCCACAATAGCAACAACTAATACGGTCCTTTAAAAGCTATTTGTAACTTCGGGGATAGCCCACGTCTCGTCTGGGGATAATATAACCAAACCAGATCTCCAGGTTGATATCCATCAAATTGGTCGTTCACGTCGTACTGCACTTTCATTCTATCACTTGCTCACTGCATATTATGGCGAAATGTATCACGGATGGCGACGCAGGTTTTCCACGTACTCAATCCTCACAGTTTCTTCTTGGTCGGATCGTACCAACCTGCAAATCGCATGGCAACCTGAGTTCCCGGCTAAACAACACTGAAGGTGGGCTTTGTCCTATAGTTTCCTGCACCCCAGAACGGTTTACCATCAGGAACAAGTGCAGATATTGGATCCCAATTACGCTGATGGTCGGACACAACTTTTGACAAGTCCTCCCTATTGTGCGGCCGGCCCGTGTGGCGCAGTTGAGTAGACGCTCGACTACAGTACTGAGGATCCCTTGTTCGAATCCGGGTTCGGGTAGGGATATTTGTAAATATATAATGGGTTGGACTTGGGTTGGTAGAGCAGCCTTGGCTAAAACCCCGCCCACTCAAAAATAAAGGCTAAAGCATTGTTTAAAATGGCAAAAGTAAATAAATAAAATTGTCCTATTCATGCGTTCTCCCATTCCGTCTGACTGTAGGTGTAAAGCAGTGGTTCTTGTCTCTTTTAGATTTTGGCCTGTAGTAACCAAATCGGCCAGGAAAATAAAAATCGAACATGTGGATCGAAAGTTATAGCACTTTCTGTGTTTTTTTTCATTGCAATACGATTTTCCCTATAACTTTTGACGTGGCGAAGCGATCTTCACCCATATTGGCGATATTGACCTGTAGAATCCAAATTGCCCAGGCCCCATTTTTTAAACAGAAAAACCGCCTATAATAATTGCATTTCAAAATTAGTTGAAATTAAACGTAGAATTAAAAAATAGATGAAAACCATTGCGCCTACTTTGACAAATTGAGGAAAGAAGTAAAATGTAACCATTTAAAAAGATACATATGGAAGACATAGTTACGTATCCTAAAAAGAATCATTGGATATAATTAAAAGACAGCATTTTTGAATCTAAATTGGTCAACAATTTGGAATTCTCATAAATCTATTAACGACGAAACTTCGAATTTTTAGTCAGCAACATTATCGATAATAAATAACGCAACACTTTATATGTGTATTAAGCCAATTCTAACAAAAATATATAAATTTAAGTGAAATGAAGTACACTTTAATAAATAAATAACATATTGCGTTTTACAAAGCACTCCGTATGAATAACTTCTCTTTTTAATATAACACAATAATCATTTTTCAACTCACACTTACGGTATCAAATTCTATAAACTATAAAAATCTTATTTGGCTTTTAATTTGTATATCGTTTAGTAGTAAGTATCAATGAACTAAGCGTATTCAAAATAGGCTTTTAACGGAATTTTTGTTGTCTACCATTGCACTGAAGATCCGCTGAAATATGTTTGAAAACGCTATTTATATACATTTGTTGTTAATTTCATTTAATAATATCCACATCTCTATCTAGTATGTAATCTATACATATTTCTAACAACTATATACACAAATACTTTGTTCTTCTATTTTACATGTATAAATATACAAAACTTACCCTAGCAAGTCTACAAGTTTATCTGTACATCAATATAAATCTAAACACAACTAAACTTTACACCATCGTCGCTAGAGTAACAATTGTGACAATGAAGCTTTTGATTCCGAACTCTCACATCGGTGCCCATCAGTCCGTCGCCGAGTTGAGTATGACATACGCAACATTTAAAGCATTCCATATGATAAAATAGACATAGGCTTTCAATTATCATTGCGGCTCCTCGTCCTAAAAAGGAAATTTGTATACATTTTAAATACTGTGATTCTGCTCTTGCATCACAACATTAATATTTTTGAAAAAGGTAGGTCACGTCACAGACGGACGCGGGGAACTGATTGTTTAATTTAATTTTGGCGAAATTTGCAGGTGTGTTCTTTTCTTAAATTTTAGCTTAGATATTTCCCAGTTATCTCAGAGTAAATAAGCTCCAATCTACTTCAGACATTCCATTTCACATAGTGTTACAGTGCATTGCAGGAAGAAGGTCTTTGGAGCAGATTTTTCAGACGAAGAGACGAAGGGGAGGTACTTTCCAAAACTCCCTAGTCTCTGCTTTATAAAAGGGCTCCGAGTCTAGAGCTCTCTGAGAAGGGAAGTATATCATACAGTGTAACTTCTTGGCGGCCACATACGTTAGGGCTTATTGAAAAGAATAATAATTACCTAATTCGTTATTACAATAAGAACATTTTTTCTTTCCGCTCACACTAAGCATAACGCCTTGAGAATCTTCCAAGGTAGCAGGTGGGGGATATGATAAAGGCGAAGCATGGCCCATTGTATGCGGGTGATTTAGGTAGGTATGTTGCGCAAACTCATTTGAACTATTGTTAGGTCTAAAAAACGCAGTTAATCAACCAAATTTGTTAAAAATCGTCTTTACCTTCGAATGGGTTGGTAACGGTCATTCCTATGTTGAACTCGTTGCGTTAATGTTTCAATTATAGGCTCGGGAATATGTTTCTTGGGTGTGCCTATTCGTTTTGGTGAGGAATTTCTTTGCTGCTCTTCTAATCGTCTTAATTCGGCCTCCTGAAAGCAGACGTTGTAGACAATAAATTTTGACAAGTCAAATTACCTGGTACAACCAATGCTGATCGTAACTTTTACTTTTATTTTCCAAATTACATTTCGGTTGAATCCAATTATCGTTTGAGAGCGGTCTTGATTTAGGCACAGCGCTTAGGGCGTGAATACCGGGCCTAGTGATTGGCCTTCCAGGTTTAATGTGTTGGAAATGGGTGGACTCTGACTCCACCATCATGTATCTTCCTTTGTCTCTTTGCTCCTTGTTGGGAAGTTTCAATGGTTTTCCCGCTATAATTGGTTGTCGGTTGATTAAGTGAGGTGGATTGAAAATGGGAACCATTTTCTCAAATTGTAGTTCGGGCATGGATTTGCGATGGGTAACTATCAAGTGCTTGTCATTATGAGGAGTAGAGTTGGATTTTTTGTGTTCCGGAGTCAACTTTTGATATAACTGTTGGATGTCCGGCATTGATTTGTGAGTTTGTAGCTGAACATTAAGTGCAGTTTTAAAGTAAAGTTCGCTTGGAGCCGAATTGTGATAATCTTGATGTTGGAGATCTGGTAATGACTTTCGGTAGTTAAAATTATCATAAGGCGGATACACATGAGTAGAGTCACAAATATTTTCATACGAACGTCGACCGTTTTGCAAATATTTTTGTGAGTGATTCTCCCTAAAAGCAATATTATCTCTGCGCCTCTCCAACTCTTCCCGTTCCAGCTGCAGTAATTCGTGCTCAACTTTCAACACCTAAGGTACAAATTAGCTGAGAATCATTAAATTGTAAACATACCTCCGAGTCTTCGTCATTAAATGAGCGGGTATAGTCTACGTTATGGGATGATGGTAGATAATTTTTTGTGAAATGTTGGTTAATAGCAGCATTATTGGAATAGTTGAAGGTGTCTTGAACGTTGTTCATAGAAGTGGAGTAATCATCGCGGGATTTCTCTTCTTTTTCTATCAACTCGATAATTTCTCTTTCTTTTTTCATAATTTCGTCTTCACTATTGGTTTGCTGTAAATTAAATGAAAAGATATTGATAAGACGCCGAAATTTGTGCAGTATTTTGTATTGTGTTGTAACAGTAGATGAAACTACCAGGATTTGTAACATTTTTCAAAATTTGAAATTCTTAAAAGAATAGTCTTCTGACAAACAGGACATATCCATTATATCCGGTATTTGATTAAATATCCTAGACCTTCCCTAACATGAAAAAATTGTCCTAAAACAATTGACTTTTTGAATGGAAAACCCATTTTTTTCTCTAGAAACTCAGGAGAGTGTTACTTACATGCCCTGCCCATATTTACAATACACGGTTTTTGTAAAAAGTGTAACAAAACGAAAATTTGTACAACATTTTTAATTACTTGGATTTGGTTTAATATAACAATCGAGAAACGCATGCCATTGTGCTAAAGCCACAGTGTAAAATAAAGCACAAAGTGAATATAGTTTTGGTACATGCAATAATATCAGAGATGGTAACCTTAGGCGCAGTCTGTTACACTACCACTAGTGGACATCTGCTCTCAGGGAATTTGCTCCCCTACAGTTTACGTTCTCAAAATTTCCTTTATATGCCTTTCAGTTTTCAATCAATTGCACGTGATCGTGATTTACGAAAGAAAACACCACAATACTCCAATAGCGCAAGTGTAATAGACTGAAACCAAACTTACCGTCTCTTTCTTACATATTACATTCATGTAGAAAGGCTTTTGGTTGTATACATGTGGCTTGAATCCTCGACTGGGATATTGGCTTTACATTTTGTAATGATAAGGCCAATAATACTGTATGGTGCACTTGTATGGAGGACTGCCATGCGAAGGGCAACCTACAGGAAGCAGCTAGGAAAAGACCAGAGACTCGCCTATCTGGAGGTCACTGGTACCATGAAAACCACGCCAACTTTGGCCATGGCGGCACTTTTCGGACTTTACACTTAGTTGTGGAGGCAGAGGCAAAGAAGGCTTCCATACAATACAGCTAAACGATTGGGACAAGTGGAAGGATCGAGGCAGCCTTGGGCACGGGCGGATCTGGGAGGAAACCCTCAGATCCGATTCCCTCCTCGCAAGAAGGGATGTGATCCAGGCTGTCCTACTAAGACCAAAGTGTTTAGAGATAGACGGGTCCCTAACCGAAAGCGAAACGGGCATGGGTATATATGGTGATAGATCGAGAGCTGGCTTCAGGTGAGTCTAATAGGGTAAGCTTGATCTGGATGCCAGCACACTGCGGAATAGGGGGCAACAAAAGAGTGAACGAGCTGGCTCGTGTAGACAGTAGTGGGGTCCCCGTTGGGCCTGAGCCTACCCTAGGAATTGCTCCCTCCATTGTCAGGGCCAGGATTAAATATTGGATGACCAGTCAATTCCAGGCAACAAGTAACCAGACAGTCCAGGGCCTTTTTAACAGGGCCCTAGGCAAATTTGGGTCTTCTGAGCTTCTAAAACTGGATAGAAACCAAATTAGGAAGATCACCTGTGTCCTTACGGGTCTCTGAATGGTCAACTATCACCTGCATAACATTGGGCTTGTGGAAGAGCCCACGTGCTGGTTCTGTGGCGAGGCAGATGAAACTACCGTGGTCTGTCACTGTGACGCATTGATCAGGGACAGATATAAACTCCTTGGAGACAGCTATCTGGATCCGGGGAGGCAGAGCATATTTTAAATAACTGCCACTAGGCGGCACTGAGCACCGTAACGGTGTGTCATACTGGGAGCTCCACTCCAGTGTAAAATTTTTGGGGGCCCCAGTCGCCGTACTAGGACACCTCTGGCCAAACTTAGTGGTTGTTTATGGTAAACTTCCCAGTCTCCCAGTGACTCTGAAATTGGCAATATCCTCTAATGGACTAAAAACCTAAAGGATGCAAAAAGAATTGAAAGTTAAATCTTACAGTTGCAGAAAAAAACAAATGAAGCGAGGCGATAGACGAGGGGGCACGAGGGGCAATGAACGAGTAAGATAGACGAGGGGAGCACGAAATTAAAATCTTATTCTTTAAACATAGTGCGCAACAATACTACATATGAGTGTATAATAATAATAATAAATGTCTTTAATAAGTACCTAGGTTAATCTCAGTCTAAGTGATATTGAGGATTGGACACTGATGTATAATAACTTTAAAAAAGAGCATGATACAACACCTTAGACTCTCATCAGCTAAAAACATTTTACTTACTAGCAACCTGATATGTAAGAGAGAATAAATTGATAACGCTTGCAGAAGGAACGAGGAAAATTTTTTTAAATAAATATAAGCAGAGTCACCTACCTCACTGTCCTGTCGTCCATGCGTAGGCGTGCTCAAATCACAAACACTGCTACACCATGTGTCGCTCGACAGTCTTCCACGTTCGCTTTCAAGACCGGAATCTTGACTCTCCACCTCGCTGAGGCAATTATCTCGACTGCCCTGCAATTTTTTATAAAAAGACTTTTCGAGCTGCGACTCTTTCTGCAAAAATGAATTTATATCGGGCGGTTTATCCAACATGATTTCCGGGTCCAACTGTTCGTGGGTTGGTTCGTCGAGGCCCAAAAAGCTCGATCTTTTAATATGTATTTCTTTCTTTAAACGCTTCGTGGAATTCAATAGCGCTAAATTATCTTCCGGTGCGTGTTCCAAGTTGTCTTCTAGAACTGGTGGGGGCGGTGGAGGTTTTTCCTTTGGAGGTTCTGTGGTTTTAGGCGGAGCCAGCGGAAAAGTGGAGTCGCAAAATACGTTCCTCTTTACGTCCACATTTTCTTGTATTGGAAATATCAATGTTTCTCTATCCATAAATGGTGTGTTTTTGGTTGAAGCCGCTGGAAGAGGTTTAGATGCAACGTGTTCTTTTTCCGTGGCAAGGTCTACATCACTCTGATGCCGCACTGAGCTCAAGAATTCTCTAGTTTTGTTAATCAAAGCTTTACTGTTCGTGGTCGAGTAATCAGGCTTGAGTAACAGGTCATCACCAGATACTTGCTGAAGTTCTTTCTCTTTATTTAACTTTTCGATGCAATGTGGTATGGTAGTAGATGATAAATCGGAATCATCGACAGGTTCATCTGCTTGACTGACAGAACAGGACACATCTGCAGTATGAATCCCGCTGTCTTCTCGGTCAGAAGATAATCCAATAATATCCGCAGATAAATTTGAGCTGGGATAATTGCAGCTTTCGCAATCGTCTTCAAGATCATTATGAGATGAATGCGACTTTTGCAAAAATGCGTCTAAATCTCTATTAAACATATTTAGCTGATTCATATACATTTCTGCTTCAGGACTAGAACAACGCTCACTAACCTCATCCTTAACATGCCAATCGTGATTTTTGTACTTCACATTTACATTATCGTTTAAGTACGAACTGATCGATTTAGGAGGCGACTGCATCTTACTCGATTTTGAATTACTGAGAGAGTTATTATTTTCCGAATCCTCTTCGGTTTGCTTATTTAAACTTACAACTCTAGACTTGACGGAATTTACTTGCGAAGCGCACTTATCTACACTTTTTAATGGTTGCTCCGTACACTTCTCCAAACTCTTTAAACGATCCTTAATACTTTGCGTATTTACAAAATCTTCCGATAATCTTCTGGAAGTACTCGATTCCAGGTGATGAATTTCCAGAGGTTTTTCAACTTCAAACATCTCTTTACGCTTGTAAATATCGACTTTGGGAATATTCTGAGATTCTGCCTGCTTTTTGTAATCCGGCTTTTGCAGAAATTTGTCGTCTATGTTCGTCTTTAATTTAATTCTAGAACGGTAATCCTGAATTGCGCCTTCGTAAGTGTATCTTGGTGGCTCCTGACTAACGCTTGATCTGTTGAGATCGTAATTACACACGGTATCGCTTTTTCTCGAAATATCCGCCGCTTTCGAGCTATCCTTATTTAGTAACAATTTTGTATCAATAAAATTATTTTCCTTATCAATACTAGGCAGATTCAGACTTTCGTCTTCACTTTGACTTTGGTTGGAAATATTTGATGTGTCTTGACTTTGAGTATCTGACATGTGATCCTTATCATCCTGAAAAAGTTCATCATTAAATAAGAACCTAGTAACAGGCGATTAAAAAAAGATTGACGTCGAGTCACCTTTAGAAGTTCGAGTTAAATATAACTTCCCATGCAAACAAAAATTCCAAAGGTGACTCGACAGCAACTCTTTTTGATTGCATAGTATTTACTTTGTGGAGCTTTATTTAGGGTGACCAGAAGTTTGCCTCTTTAAAAGTATACGTCGCTATCCTCAATGTTTAGAAAAAGTATAACTATGAGAATGTTAAAAAGACCGCTTCTGGTCACCATATTTATTAATATAACGGTTTTAATAGTAACAATAAAACTTTCTTTATTTTAAACGATAAGGCAGCGTCCAAATGTTTGTTGTTATCAATTAGTAAGATTTGTTTAACGACCTGAGTCTTCAGAAGCATCTATTGGACGTTGGTGATACATTTCTCAAAATGGGGTGAGTTAACCAATTGGATAGTAAACAACTTCAAACCTTCCCCATCAATAATTATTCATGGGGAAGGCTTAGAGTTCTTTACTATCTAATTGACTTGAGTCCTTAGTATGATTAATTCTCAAACTGTGACTCTTGGCCCCCACGTTATTTCATTATTCGATTTTAGACTCTTTTGTAGTGTAATGTCTGGTCTATTATTGTGAATAGTTTTGTCTGTCTATGAGTAGTCCTGTCCCAATACAATTTGTGTGTTGTTTTAAGTATTATTTGTGGAGTGTATTTGTAGATATTGATGATATTTTGGTATTGAGTGACATTATAAAGTAATGATTTGATCGTGTTGAGGAGAGGGCTTTTACCTTCACTCTATCAGAGAGCATTAATTGTGCTAAGGGAATGAGAGGATACAATGGATGTTTTTGTATAGCGAAATACCGTTGTAGAGTTCTGCAGTGTAAATGCTTGATATTTGGTTTTAAGGACCAAGAGTAGCTTCTTCACTCAGAATATACAGCGCATCCAACTCTACCTTCCATCCGTAAAGACAATCTTCCGGTTTTCAAATACACAAATCGATATCCTTGTCAGTATGAAAGCTCAAAATCATGATATACTAAATTTTTGATCAGTCTACAACCGAAATTTTTGTTTGAAAGCCTTTATCAATGAAAGTGACTGGGAATCTTGCAATCTTTACCTGATACAGGCATTTCAAAACTGAAGACCTCCCCAGAACACCCCAGCAAAACAGGTTCAACGTTCATTTCCCTACAACCAACATAAGACCTCTTCATACACTGACCAATACCGCTCGGTGCTGTGTGCTCCTCCAAAACTTGATTATTTTAGAAGGAAGAAGAGATCGATGATCTTTTTTTCCTGATGATTCCCTAGAGTGCGGAAAGTTTTGTTTTTGGAGAGAACATAGCACCAGGGGTCATGGAATACCCCCCAGGAAAGAAAGATTGAACGTTAATTTCCCTACAACTAGCACAAGAGTAGTCCAAAGAAAGATTCCTTCGTACACTACTGGGGGGTATTTCCCCAGACCCCCCTGGTGCTATGTTCTCCTCCGAAACTTATAGCCCTCGGTGCTCTGATTATTTTTTAGGGAAGAAAAGATCGATGTCCTTTCTTTTCGTGAAAATGGCCACGAGAGCGCGGAAGGTTTTGTTTTTGGAGGAAACATAGCACCGAGGGATATGGAAGGTATTCATTCCCAACAACTAACATGAGACCTTCGTACACTGGGAAGTATTCCATGTCCCCAGACCCCCCGCCACTATGTTCTTGGAATGATCTTTCCTTTCGTCAAAAATGGCCAAGAGAGTCCAATCGGTAGACCATATCCAGTCTTATTTACGACAGATACTATAGAATTGACACATAAACAATGTAATACTAACCTCCCATTTATTGTTATAGACAGGGGCGGACTGGCACGGGGGGCGGGTGGCGATTGCCACCTAGCCTGTAGATCATAATGGCCCGTTGGAAATTTATAAGTATGTGCTGTATTTAGTTTCTTGCACTATTAATAAATTATTAACACGGTTCTCTAATTGGGGTTGATGTTAGGTTGTTAAAAATTCTGTTTTAATTGAAGTGTTTTACAATGAATTTATCATTTTTTGTCGTAGCTGAAATACAATGATAGGCGACGCACCTCGTGTGGATTGTATATTTTGTTACTTTTAATTATCAGCTGCAATTAAAAAAAACTGTATGGTAATTGAATTTCGAAAAAGGAGTACCTTAAAATGTTTTTGTGGTGCACCTCAGAGCTAACCCCCCCCCCTCCACCCGCCACCTTCATTGCTACACTCATACTTTAATGGCCCGTAAGTACCCAGTCCGCCCCGTGTATAACCTTCCTTTTTTACCAAAATTCGACTACACCAAAATTTCTCGGGAAAACACTTTTTCTTATTAATTTGGGTTGGGTGCGTAGAATCCAAATCAATTCGTACTTTTTCGATCAGACTTCTCAATCAAAAGTTATAGACTAGAAACCAATTTCGAAAAAAAATTCAAAGGGCTGTAGCTTTTGAACTAGTAGCCCAATCTTGGAACTGTTTGAAATTATGGATTCTACAGGCCACATTCTATAAGAAAATTTTTTTTCCGGGTCGATCTGAGAATTTTTTTTGCGGGCCTCAAAAAAAGGCAGTGTATAACCTTCCTTTTTACCAAAAATTGACTTCACCAAAATTTCTCGGGAAAACACTTTTTCTTATTAATTTTGGTGTGTAGAATCCAAAACAATTCGTACTTTTTCGATCAGACTTCTCAATCAAAAGTTATAGACTAGAAACCAATTTCGAAAAAAAATTCAAAGGGCCGTAACTTTTGAACTAGTAGCCCAATCTTGGAACTGTTTGAAATTATGGATTCTACAGGCCACATTCTATAAGGAAATTTTTTTCCGGATCGATCTGAGACAATTTTTTTTTCGGGGCTCAAAAAAAGGCAGTTATTACCTTCCTTTTTTACCAAAAATCGACTGCACCAAAATTTCTCGGGAAAACACTTTTTCTTATTAATTTAGGCGCGTAGAATCCAAATCAATTCGTACTTTTTCGATCAGACTTCTCAATCAAAAGTTATAGACTAGAAACCAATTTCGAAAAAAAATTCAAAGGGCTGTAACTTTTGAACTAGTAGCGCAATCTTGGAACTGTTTGAAATTATGGATTCTACAGGCCACATTCTATAAGAAAATTTTTTTTCCGGGTCGATCTGAGACAATTTATTTTTCGGGGCTCAAAAAAAGGCAGTGTATAACCTTCCTTTTTTACCAAAAATCGACTACACCAAAATTTCTCGGGAAAACACTTTTTCTTATTAATTTGGGTGCGTAGAATCCAAATCAGTTCGTACTTTTTCGATCAGACTTCTCAATCAAAAGTTATAGACTAGAAACCAATTTCGAAAAAAAATTCAAAGGGCTGTAACTTTTGAACTAGTAGCCCAATCTTAGAACTGTTTGAAATTATGGATTCTACAGGCCACATTCTATAAGAAAATTTTTTTTCCGGGTCGATAGAGACAATTTTTTTTTTCGGGGCTATAACCAGGGGCGCACTGGCCCGGGGGGGCGGATGGTGATTGCCACCTGGCCTGTAGATTATAATGGCCCGTTGGAAATTTATAAGTATGTGCTGTATTTAGTTTCTTGCACTATTAATAAATTATTAACACGTTTCTCTAATTGGGGTTAATGTTAGGTTGTTAAAAAATTCTGTTTTAATTGAAGTGTTTTACAATGAATTTATCATTTTTTCTCGTAGCATGAAAGTGCTGAAATACAATGATAGGCGACGCACCTCGTGTGGATTGTATATTTTGTTACTTTTAATTATCAGCTGCAATTTAAAAAAAACTGTATGGGTACTTTAAAATGTATTTGTGGTGCACCTCAGAGCTAACCCCCCCCCGCCACCTTCATTACTACACTCATACTTTAATGGCCCGTAACCTATGCAATTCCACCTGGCCCGCAGTTACCCAGTCCGCCCCTGGTTATAGATCTTATAATTTCGGGCTTCATTACGAATGGTTTTTCCCTACAACTATTCTGAACCTCTATGTCAATCAGTATATGGTTTGGTAAAACAGAAATTTTTGTAATTGCATTCTAAGGAAAATTAACGTTGGTATTCCACAATCAATATGTATGGCTTCTAGAGGACTGGCCTCTATTCAATCCCTATAGGCTCTCGAATAATTTATGCTAATCAATCAACATAGGATTTGTAAAAAAGAAGCAGTGCTTCCCTGCTAGCTCCCCATGATCCCATGTTGACGAGCGGTTTTTGTATATCAAAGTCTAAAGGCAATATTTTCAGCGATTTATTGCATTTTGCTGTGTTTCCTGAATTTTTTGAATGTCCTTACCACTATGGAACATAATTAGATCGACCCTCGAATATGGGTCCTTGGAATGTTCTAATTAATTCATCGACAGCAATCAAAGACAGAGTGTAGATTAATACCGATCCTTGGGAAATTCCGAGGGAAATTCCATTTTCTAAAGAGTATATTTCAGAGATACGTTTTTAGTTCTGAAAGTACGGTTGTAGAGAAAATGTTTAATAAAACCAGGTAAGTTTCTCCTGAACCATAATTTGTTGAGTATATTATACCCCCACGTCAGATCTTTCTACAAGTCAAACGCTATTGCCATCGTTGCTGATTCTACATGGTACAAAAATGGGGGGGCTGCGAGTTACAGTGGATCCCGAAATGTGAGTGCAGAAGCTACCAGGTACAGGTACCATAAGACTATTTTTGAAATATTGAACGGCACAAACCAATATGCATTAAGGCTGGGGAATTTGATACAAATTACAGCCATAGCTAGTGTCAAGAACAACTGCCAAAGTGCTTAATATTATGCCACGAAATTGATACCACGTGTAGATGATGAACTGATGTATAGCGTGATATAATAGCAATATGACTTTGATGCGTAATAAGTACGTAATAAATTGCCAAAATACTGCAATTTTTCAGAGAAAGAAATGCTTTTTTGTCAGGTGATATATTGCTTGTATCAACTTCAAATTACCGTCATACCGTACATAAGGGTTGATATTAATGATTTGCCAACATATAGGCATAGTGAGCTTCAAATAAGAGAGCTGTTGTTGACACTAGTTTACCCTATCATTGCTTATGAGAATAAAAATGTAATGTGTGCGTAAGACGGAAATTCCCTGCCCTTAAGCACAACTCGTTTCAGTAGTAATGCGAATTGGTACATTAAAAAACCGGGGATGCGTTTCAATTCAAGGAAAACTGATTTTCCAGATCAACAAAGTTTAGCACAACACTAGCACTATGTAAAAATTGTCATTACACTTTTTTTTTAAATTGCGGCAGCTAAGCAGGTAGTAAAAACTACAACAGCAAAGTGTCTTCCAACCACAATAGATCCTGTCACATCATGTCACCAATTTTTTTTAGTTCGAGAAATAGAAGAACTTGTGAAAAGTAGGTCAAATTAAAGCCGTTAGGACTTCCGGCGCACAGCTTAATCCAGTGAAGTATAGTCGTTAAATTTACTGCTGCAGTAAGTTAAATAGAAAATAAAAGAAATAAGTCGACTAAAAGGCTAATTCAATAAAAAAAACAATCCAATATTAGGGATGACAGAAAAAGAAAGTTCGTTAGAAAGTGTTATTTCCGTTATAGGTATATTTAATCCACTATATCTACAACGACTGAAAAAGGATTTGGATTTACAAATTTTTGTACCCTGTTAACCAACCTGAATCGTATTGAAATTTGGGAAAACGATCGACATTGACAGTTGATTGTCTGCAGTGGTAAAGTTTTGCGATGCGATTTACAAATCAAAAAGCAACGGAAACTGATCTATAGACATGTGTGCGACGTTTGATGATTTTACATTGCAAAATTGGAAATTTGTTTCCACAATAACTGCCTTTTGGTTCAAAATTGTTGGTTGTAATAAATAACATTCATCCAAATAGATAATGCTACGACATTTGCATAAAACAAAAATTATTCAGCTAATTCCTGCACTTTCGCCGTTATTTAAGAAATAAGATCAAAAACTGCCATATGAAATAGATATCCTTCATTTTTATCGCACAATGATAATAATTTGTTATAAAATTTAACTTCATTCTCAAGCTTAAACCTTTAGCAACAATCGCTCGTTAACAGAAGTTCATTTTTTACTTTGAAACAAAGTTATTTACGAAATCGCACTTTTGAATTTTTTGTAAACGCCACCTTAAAAAGTACGGCCGGAGTAAAAGGTCAAAAATTCACATTAAATAAGCAGAATTTTTTAAAATATTAAATGCACGACTTACTCGGGAGCTTACACGTAATTCAGTAACCAGAACGTAAAGATACGAATCCAGTGATCCGCAAGACGTAAAACTAGCACAAGGTGTAATTTGTCCTAGATATTAGAGATAAAAAGGCACAATTTTTCTGTATCGCTTCATTCTTAACAATTTAAAACATCCCTCGTCACTTTATGCCTAAATAAAATACAAATTTGAATTTAGGTTGCAGTGATTGATCATTGATGGAATTTTATTGTTACTACCACACAAAAAGTATACTCACTAATAGACTGCAACTATCATCCGTATCTGCATCCTTGCTACCATTACTCTTTGAATGTGTATTACCTATACCATAATCGCTAAGGTCATTCTCATCGTCATTGTAGACGAGAATATTTAATTTTTGCCCCCTTTTATTACTAAAATATAAAAAAACTGTTAGGCAAGACTCACTTTGATGGAGCGATTCTTACCGCTCTTCCAACATCTCGCTGAAGGTTTTGCTCTTTCTTCTAGATCGATCGTGCCCTTCTTGCTCAATTTTTTTTACTTCGACCACTCGTTCGATGATGTGCTCCTGTCGTTTTCTTCTGCTACTTTTCCAATTATCGAGGTTCTAAAACCACGAAAATAAACAGATCTGTAGTCTTCGATTTGGGTAGGTACCTACCTGTTGCCATTCCTCCGCATCATCGTTCATATCTTGGCGCATGATTTTGATCTCTTCGACTTTCTTGATTTGTTCGTGAGCTTTTTGAAATAGCGGACAAGGTGCGACTTTGATAAACTGCAGGGGATTCGTGGCAGGTTTTGGTGGAGGCGGTTTTGTTATTCGACACTTCGTTAGTAGCCATTCTGTGTTTGAGTTCTAAACGAATGCGTTAGTGGAAGAAGAACTTGGTAAGCCATTACTTACTCTCCGTTCAGAAGCCTCCTTATCAGTCAGGTCTTGGATATTTTCCATGATGTCACCAGTGTGCCATTATTGAGAAAGGTCTGCAATAGGAAAGTCGTCTCAGTGCATGCAAATTTGAATTGCTTATCTCATCCAGGACAGTACTAAATCTACTAATTCCTATGATCGAGGAAAATACCTACTTGCTGTTTGCCATCATTATCTAAGATAGTGGTAAAAATGCTTTCAAGTTCATAGATACCTACTTCTAGACAAGATAAGATTGCAACCTTTAAAAAAATGGCACAGCTATCTTATATAATTATTGTCCCACATTGTTTGCGTAATGATAACGGTACGATGGATAGAAATATGCAGCTCTTAAAAGAAAACCTTAATGTCGACATAATTTCATGTAGGTAGGTATTGTTCAGAATTCACACGTTCTTCCTCAAATTCTTATTGCAACACCTCACCTAATTTACACGCAGCAATTCGCTTGATGGATTTACATTCAACAACTGCAAATCAGTAGCATAACAACTACGTACGTGCAGAAAAAAGTTAATCGCAGGAAATGTGGAAATGGGTATGAAATAAGAGTAGGAAAAATTCACTGGTCACGCAACGTTTACAATTATTAATCTCGCGCTCACTACACTCATTTCAAAATCTTCAAACGGAAATTTTTTGAAAACTGGACAAAGATCAAACTTTAAATTCGGTGTTTTAGATACACGTCCTCATTAAATGTGATCATTTTTGAGAGATGCGGCCGAATGTGCGGAAATTTCGTAACAGCGATTTCCTTAATTATAGTCGGACGTGCGAAACTTTCACATAAGAGCTTATTCGTGCAAACGGATTAGTTGAGGGTAACGAAATATTTTAAGATTAAATTGATCCCTTTTCGACCATTTGCGTGAACAAGACCGAAACAACTTGATTTGTAAGGAAGAACAAGGGCATAGTTGCACAATTTAAAAAGTCGGATCTCTGAGTGATATACAAACTGGTATTGTGAAGAGATGTTTTATGTACGATACCTAATGTGGACACATAACACTTAACGGTGTCTATGAGAACTTTGAGGGAAGAAATTCGCAGTTACGAAACCAGAAATAAGTGAGCCTTTTCAATCAACCGACACCTAAAAGTGGGACATCTCAATTAACATTATAAAACTTCAATAATATAACGATACAAAAGCTATTTACCTAACCGAAACTTTGATTTTGTAATAAAAGTCACTGTAGATTAGAATGAAACGTAAATAAGTGCGTGAGTATACGGCCGTTTCGCATTTCCAAAATATGTATTAAAAAGGCAACCATTCCTACGACATACCCCTGATTCTCAAGTATGTGCTTTCCATCAGAATGGTTTGCCACCATAATTTTTGTTTAGCCCAAAAAATGTATAGTTCTCAAATTACCAGGGAAATCCAATAAAGAAATTAAGGTTGTACTTACTACTTCTTTGGCCTATGTGGAGTACCAATGCAGGTTCTATCTCTTCGTCGTAAATGCTCGCGTAAATGAATATGGGAAAGATTTTTGGTTACGAAAAGACTTCACTACATGGGGAGTTAACGAGGTTAAAACGAAGCATCAACTTTTCGCACAGGAACCGGACATCCCCCATACGAATGCACGGGGCCATTGCATACTATATGAATCACTATACCAACGACAGGGTTTATTTATTTTTCGAGATTAATAGTCGTTAATTTGATTGAGTACTCCGTACTGATTTAAAGGTAATTAGACCGACAGTCGGATAAGCACTTGAGGGAAAATATGCATGAGCTAATACCTGATAAAAAAGTGATCGTTTACAAACGAGTTACTAAAGGCGCATTTTTATATTGACTAGTCCTTTTCGAAAAGAAAATTACCTTTCACCACAAATTTTATATAGTAAAATGACTATTACGTCGATAGTTCAAAATGGCTCAAGATCATAATGCTCCATGATATTTGACTCTGTTAAATGAGTCTCTCTAACAAAATTGGAAAGTTGATGGGCAGCGAATGCTATCGTATTTTGAGTTTTGATCCCACCAACAACAATCGGTCGACTTCTATTAGTGGGAGCGGCCCGTGAGAACAAACGGCATTTCGTATTAAAATTGTGCCACTTGGAACACATGTTCCCTAGACCTATTGGAGTAATTTGAGTCGCAGAGCCGGAAGTTCCGTCCCTTAGGATTCAAAATGGCGCCAATTTTCAAAATTGAGGCGAATTTCAGGAAATATCTGTTTTTAGAGCGATTTTTGCGTTTAGGGTGACGTTTGCGAGGTTTCCGACAGTGAATATGACAAAAATAATATCCGAAGCTAATTTCTGTGGGAAGTCTGATTGTATATCTTTAACGTCCGACAGGATTCGAAAGTTTCTTGGAAAGTTTAACCGATTTTCGTGGTTGAGGTGGCGTTTTTGAGATTCTTTTGAGTGAAGATGACCAAAAAAGACCCATTAAACAAACGTCATATTTCTCGAGGAATGTCCATTTGTCGCTTATAAAGCGACCAAATAAAAAAAACGCTCGCTCTCCAAATTATAAACTATTAATCAAATATGCATTGCTCAGAGTAACCAATGGCAACGAGTAAATGACATCTTTCATTTGGGCATAAGATTAAAATAATAATCTATATTTGAGTGAAAAATTTAAATTTTTGGAAATATGTGAACTGCTCGATTGTAGAAAAAAATCTTGTATGTAATTCGAGCGCAAATTGTTTGTTGATTTCAAGAGATTAGCGCGGCAAATGTCTCTTTCAGTCGACAATATATCATTTGGCGCTCTTAATACACAAATAGCTATTTTTTATGAATTTTTAAGTACATTGAATAAACAGATCGAGGTAAACTAAGTGGAAGGGTGAAACTTGTTCATTGAATTCGGTTTTTAACTAAAAATTGTCATCATCGCTCAGATCTCCTGTTGCAGTCGAGATATAAAAAAATATTAAGATCATTAAAAATAAAACTCTGACAGTCATGTTTATAAAATAAGCATGTACATAGATACTCGGCTCCGATTTTTGCAGTGTTCTTGACAGTTAGAACACTATAGGGTGCAGGGAAGGCTGTTTCGCAAGCATGAACACCTTATGGTCTCACAAGTTCACTTTGCAGCCGCATTTCCCTAGGATTGTGAGCTCCTTTCATATTTACTCCTATTTGGTCCAGTTTTGTTCCCAGCCCACTTTGCCTCGTGTCCATCCCCAAGTTGACGGATGTGGAGGGCATTCAGTAGGATAGAAGCAGTGCCCCCACAACACATGATCTGCTTGATTGGGGACAGGAACTGCAGTAATTTATTTTTGGTACAAAATAAATATTTTCCAACATTAGTAGTGGATTTCTTCTGTGCTTCGGGGTCATAGAGAACGGTAGTAAATTCTTCCAAAGTTTTAATTGTTTTTTTCTGTTCTTCCTCTTTGTGAATTGGAGAATTCAAGTAAAGCTGGTGTCACGTCCGGGCGTTTCATACAAGTCATAAACGCCTTCTTGTTTCCAATAGAATTGAAGCAGGGCGTTGTGGCACAACCTGTGTAACAATGAAAGCCCCGTAGGGCTTGTGAATTTTCTTCTCCAAGTGCCAATACAATCAAATCGGTCGCTAATTCGCTATATATCGACGCTTGGCCCCAACCAACCTGACAGATATCCTTCTTTCAGTCCGAGTTCATTCAGAAAAAAAAACAAAATATATATGACCATCAGAATGTCAGTATCTCAAGACTGGACGAGGATGTTCTGGGCTCCATGTTCCACCATATCTTTCGCATGGAGGATGATTCGCCCGTCCGCCTCTTTTTGCGTAACTTGTATCCCATCAAAAGAGAAAGCGTTCTCAATCGTAGGAAAGGCTGCAAGTCAACTTGTGAGACCATGAGGTGCTCATGCTTACGAAACAGCCTTCCCTCCACCCTACAGAGTTCTAACTGCCAAGAACACTGCGAAAATCGCAGCCGAGTATATGTACATGCTTATTATACTCGTAAACATGACTGTCAGCGTTTTATTTTTAATGATTTTAACTAAATATTTTTTATAGCTCGACTGCAACAGGAGATCTGAGCGATGATGAGGCATTTCCCTTTGATGACTGATGACTTTTTTACAATAATCAACAATTTTTAGTTCAGAACAGGATTCAATGAATAAGTTTCAGTTTTGCACTTAGTTAACCTCGATCTGTTTATTCAAAATACATAAAAATTCATAAAAAAGGCCTTTAATGGGTCTTTTTTCGTAATCTTCACCCAAAAAATCTCAGAAACGCCACCTCAACTAAGAAAATCGGTCAAAACCTTTGAATCTTGTCGGACGTTAAAGATATCATACAATTGGCCTATGATAAATGAAACATGCTTCCCACACAGAAATTAGCTTTGGATATTATTTTTGTCATATTCACCGTCGAAAACCTCGTAAAAGTAACCCCAAACGTAAAAATCGCTCTAAAAACATATATTTCCTGAAATTTCAAAAATTGGCGCTATTTTCAATCCTAAGGGGTGGAACTTCCGGCTCTGCGACTCAAGCCACTCCAATAGGTCTAGGGAACATGTGTTCTAAGTGGCACAATTTTAATACGAAATGCCGCATAATACCAATATTTATCACGAGCCGCTCCCACTAGGTATATTTGTTGCTGTTAATAAAGTTTCCTGCCAATTCACATACAAGAAAATGCATTTAATGGCTCATAGTAACGACCGAAACATATACAGGTCAATTATTTCACTTCGATTTTATCGGATTTTATGTATAATTAAAATGCATTCACTGCGATGTTAAAACCTACTCGGGGTCTACAAAGTCAAGTTGTAAAAATGAACAGGTGTCAAATTTACTGGATGATAGGGACCGTTTTTTGAACTTTCCCAACAAGTAATCTACAAAAAAAAATTTCTGTGCCAACCATCGGGACGGACAAAACGGTCGCACAATAGCGCAGTTTTTTGGTGAAGCGTTAAAAGGGTATTTTTGTGTGGGGTAAACTGCTGATCTTCTACTAAGGGATTATTTATTTAAATTATTTTTACAACGTCCGAAAGCTTTTACTGTTTTGCAAAATGGTCGA